CATATGACGCAGGCGCGGCGTTGGGTGGCCTACGCGGTGGTGCCACAGGAGAGCCGGGTGGGTAAGGGAGCGACAAGAGCAGAACGCGGCATGCTGGGTGGACGTGGCTACCTTGGGGGACTCTGTGTGCAGTATGAAGAGGCCGGACACAGGGTCGCTGTCAAAGGTGGCAAGACGGGCGCCTATGGCGACGTCCATACAAGCTACATATCTCTTACGACCAGGGAACGTGGTGGCGACGCCGAGGTCCCGGATATGGCCAACACCAACCAAGTTATTGGGGAACGTCGTGTTATGCAAGCTGGTAAGGAAGCCAAACGGGACAGCCGGACAAGGTAGAGCCATGGCAGTGCGAGCGACGGTAGAGCCGTGGCTATGGAAAGGGAGACAGCAAGGGAGACTGGAGTGGGGTGCAGGAAGCGGTGTGAGTGCAGTGTGGTCTCGGAAGAAGCAGCGGGACGCGCCAAAGTCAAGAGTGAAGGAGAGGGTAGCCCCAGCAGCGGCCGACGAGGATCCTTGACTACACAAAGCAAAGGATTCTAGACTACATACACTAGTGGCTCCTAGACTACGCACAGCATGATAATAAGAGTCAGTAATACTATAATCATCAAAATACATCGAATCCATAGCATAAGTTATTTGATTCCTAGGTAGCTTAAACACGGGGACGCCGCGACGGACAAGAACATGCCACTGCAGAAGGAGCGCATGGGGCCCAAACTGACGACTGTATAGGTCCTTGAGGCGGCGGTTGCAGCGAGCGGCGGTGTGGCCCGTGCGTCCCCAAGTCTCTCCAATTAGAGGGTCGGACTGGATCTGGTACACACAACGTAAAAGACCCCCAGGCCCAACACCACACCAGCCCTCAAAGGAGCCACACAAGTCACAAGGCTACGACTGCCCGGGGGCCCAACCACTAGGGCCCGCACCATGACCAGAGCCTCCAGTACCCCACTGTGGCTGCTCTGGCTACTGCTGCTTCTGCTGTGGCGGCGGCTGCTACCGCTGAGGCTGCTGCTGCTGCTGCGACTGCTGCTGCTCCCACTCCTCCTCCGCACTCGCACCTCCGCTAACTCTCGAGGCCTCACCAGAACCTCGACCTCCTGCCGACTCCCCACGACCACCGCGGTGCGTCGAGCGCTTGACCTAAGCGACTAGGTGTAATGACCGCAGCGACAGAGGCAGTGGCGCCAGAGTCAAGGGCCTGGGACAGAGCACACCCCTGAAAGGCAGGGACTGCCAACGCACCAGTGGACTCAGCGATGGTGCGGGGGCGGGCCTCAACCTCCGTCAGGGAGGTGGAGAAGCGGTCGATGGTGAGGGCAGTCTTGACAGCTGCAAAGACCTCTTGCTGCGCCAATGTTGCCTCAGGGCCAAGGGCAACAAGACATGGAGGGATGGGGAGCTCACCACTGACATGGGCCGCCATGGACTCGCCCTCAAAAAGTTGGCTTGGCAGCTGGCGGCGAAGAAAGGAGAGCCAGGACGAGAAGCTCACCGTACGACCCTCAGCATCCAGGCGCATAACGAAGACGGAAGCCGAAGGAGTCGTCATGCCGGTAGCTGGAGGAGCGACAGGCTGGCTGCAGCGGCAGGCGGGCGGCAGTAGCAGGATGGCGTGTCGCTGGCAGCGGCGCCTAGTGGTTGGCTGCTGGCAGCTGGAGGCTGGTAGCAGCGGCTAGCGGCTAGCGATTGGCGGGGGCGGCCGGCAGCGGCAGGTGGCTGGCAGCTGGCGGCCAGCAGCGGACAATGGCGGCTGGTAGCGGTGGCGAGCAACTGGTGGAGGCGGCTGGCAGTGATAGCTGGCGAGCGGCGGATGGTAGTGGCGGCTGGCAGTGGCGGCTGGCACGCAGCAGCGAGTAGCGGCAGCTGGCAGCAGTGGCTGGCGGGCAGTGGCAAGAAGCAGCAGCTGGCGGGTGGCAGCGGGCAGTGGCGGCTAGCAGCAGCACCTGGCAGCGGTGGCTGGCCGGCGGCGGCTGGCAGCGGCAGCTGGAGGGCAGCGGCGGCCAGCGGCGGGCAGCGGCTGCTGGTAGCAGCGGCTGGTGGGCAGCAGCGGGTTGCGGTGGCCGGCAGCAGCGGGCAGAGGGGCGGGAAGCGGCGGCTGGCAGCAATGGCTGGTGGGCAGCGGGGGGCAGCGGCAGTGGGCAGCAGCGGCGGGCAGCAGCGGCGGGCAGCAGCGGCTGGCAGGCACTGCTGGCGGCCAACTGGCAGGTGCTGCTGGCGGCGAGTTGAAAGGCACTGTTGGTGGCTAGTTGGCAGGCGCTGCTAGCAGCGAGCTGGCTGGCGCTGCTGGCGGCTAGCTGGCAGGCACTGCTGGCAGCGAGCTGGCTGGCGCTGCTGGCGGCGAGCTGGCAGGCGCTGCTGGCGGCGAGCTGGCAGGCACTGCTGGCGGCTAGCTGGCTGGTGGTGAGCCGACTGGTCTGCGTTCTAGCTGGCTGGTGCGCGCGCTGGTTGGCGTGCTGGCTAGCGCACGTGCTGGCTGGCGCGAGTGCTGGCGCACTGGCTGGTGTGCTGGCTACACGGTGCTGGCTGGCGTTGGAGCGAACGACGGGACAAGGAGGGCGGGGACTAGCGCGAGGTACTAGCGCGGGGGGGGGACTACTAGTGACGAGGCATGCGGTTAGGGGCGAAGCGCGCTATGTAACGTCTGCGGACGGAAAATACCTTGGAGAATGTAAACGCATTCCGCTGCGCCTCTGGGTAACCTCGTTTTGACCAAGTGGATAGCAAGGCGTTATACTGGTACCAGAGCTTAGGGTTCGATCCCCGGCTGGGCACATTTTCCGCGCACGGCTGAGGTCGTGGCGAGAACTCGAATGTGTGAAAATACAGCTGCAGTTGTATACAGTCGCGAACCCAGCGAACGATCCTGGTAACCGCTGTGCATCACCGGCGAAACTCGAGGTCCTTGCGGGGGCCGACTCCCTGGAAACCAACGAGGACGTTGGCACCAGGGGGGGACGAGTGTAACGTCTGTGGACGGAAAATACCCTGGAGAATGTAAATGCATTCCGCTGCGCCTCTGGGTAACCTCGTTTTGACCCAGTGGGTAGCGAGGCGTTATACGCTAGGCTAGGGCGTATGCTAGGGCGGAAGTGTGAGGAGCAACCTAGCTCGAGATGCCACGCTAGAGTAGCGTGAGAAAGTTTACTAAGGAAAATGTCGAGGGGGATACAAGAGTCGGGTTAGACATGTTGATTATAACCTAGCTAGGTCAACTCTTAGAGAGTAAAACACCTTGTACTTGTACCTCCCTCTCTCCCTTCCTAGCGCAACTTTCTCGCTACTTTAATACCTAATTCCATGAATCTGGGAAACACTCGTTTGCCAATGGCTTATTCCTTGTTTTTTTACCAAACTGTTGTAAATCTCGTGACAGCCCAGATTTGGCCTTTAATTTGCTGCTTATGCTGTTACGAAACGCATAGTTTGCCGACGATAGCATACGATAATACATGTCAATAGTGACTAAGTTTGCCAGCAAGCGCAACACTTGGAATGCTGCCTCGCTATAGGAGTGGCATGCTGCTGTTCAAGCATTTGAGAGCAAAGCATGCATGGCATTTCAAGCGTTTTCACAAATTTCCCTCAGACCACAGTTTGCAGCTCAAAAACAACCATGGCAAATTAGTGTGCGCTAGGATGTCCAACACTGAGTGCTGCACGCTTTTCTGGAGGCCAGCACTGATTGATCAGGATGCCTCAAATCATATCCGAGGCCCTGCTACGGTCGATCGCTCGTCTAGCTCAATGTAGAGGATCGTTCTCCATTCGCAGTCTTCGAAATATTTCAATGTTGTACTGCGCCCAAAGAAAAATGGGAGGGCAGTCCTCGGGGTCGATTCCGGGGCGAGTGTCATAGCTCAGGTCGACCCGCGGTCGAAGGAGCCGCGGGTTGTCACAACCGAACTGCGGGTTTTATATTCTTGACGGTTCAGTGGCTGCACAGTCGCGAACTGTCACGAGGGGATGGTTGCGATTCTACTGGCCGAACTTTGCGAGTCCACCAGAAATATGCTAGTTTATGATTGGTCGAAATTCATTTGGGGGACATTGTTTGTTGTTCGGTTTTACACCTGACTGGCTGGAGCCGTCAGTTTTTCGCAAGACCGAGGCAATTTTTTTCCAGCCTCAGATCTTCCCGCTAAACCCTCGGGTCTAAGGATGAATTATGGAGCCTTGGGTTTGACCCGAGGGTCTCGTAGGAAGACCCGCGACTCTTGGCGGTTGTTTGACTGGATAAGCACATCTAGCTGACAAAATACATCGGCACGCAATGTTGTGGAACGGAGGGTCAGACGTTGTCTGCTAATGTACAGTCTCTATTCGCATTCGCGACTCACTTTTGCGACAAATCGATGCTGTTTCGCTGCTGCGCGGCTAGGCACACTAAACCCGCAGTTAGGTTGTGACAACCCGCGGCTCCTTCGGCCGCAGGTCGACCTCGGGTCTGACACTCGCTCCTGAATTTACCCTAACACTCTGCGGAATCCTCCCTGGGAGACAATTGGGAAAAGATGCGATCCGCTGGCTGAAATTTAGGAGGGGTGACTCTGGCTGGTTGGTTTGTGTTTGGGGATGTTGTGGACTGGGAATGAACATTCGTTTGTTCTGTCCTATGTACACGGCATAGAACTTTTCCATTCGCTATTGCATAAGGGATCGTTTCGATTTCTTAGACTAGTAATAACCCTTGTTGACCACACGGTTCAGTTCAGTTACTGAACTTCAGGGCGTATGTCTTACAGTTCCGGAACCGGGCGATTTCCGGAACTGCGAAAGATCACGAAAATCGTCAAGATCGCCAAGCCCACTCGCGAAGGCTGAGTCGTGGGTTCCGGAACTCGCGTCCAGCATGTACACCGCGGGTTCCGGAACCCAATCCCGAAACCAGTTCCGGAACCCGCGCTCGAATTGCAAAGGCACTTCCGAGTTTCGGAACGACCCCTACTTTGTAGGGTCCTGGGGATCCTTCGCGAATTCCGGAAATAGTTCCGGAACTTCCAGGTCCGGAACTGTAAGACACACGCCCTCAGTAGTGGGAAACCCTATCATCGCACTAAGTAACATGCACGGGCAACTTCCCTTCTCCCGCCAAATCCTCTTCTGGTCTTTCATGGTGCCGTTGGCATCGCGAGTCGCGGCGCACTTCCGCCGCCGCCTCGACAACCTCGATGGGAACCGCTGCAAGCCGCGTTGGAGAGGCGAGTCCCGAGACTCCAGATAGAATCACGCGCTTATTAGAATCAGTGTTTTGGGATGCTAGAATTTCTGCAGCCTGGCGCTGCTGACCAATACCCCGTCTGCACTCTCTCGTTCTGACCTTGTAGGTCGCCTTAAAAAAAATTGCCGTCTCTTTCATGACGGTTTTTTAGGAGCCTCGAAGTCGTCTCTCCCTTGTTGGAGCATCCAAATCTACCTGCTGGTCTTCCTATTCAAAAGGAGCATGCCAAAAATTTTAAGAAGTTCTTCATTCAGTGTTTCCCTCCTCTCGGACTCGATATTGACTTGTGAGTCGGCTCGAATGTCATCTCGGCGTGCGATTGGCCGTTCCTTCCATGGTGACACATACTTTTCTGCCTGTTGTTTTTCGTTTCTCTCATTTTACGTCCCCCCCTCCCCCCCCGCCCCATCAATCTCGTCATTGTCTGGTTACACAATTTCGTCAGTGTGAAAGACGAGAATCTTTCTTCTTGCCCCTCCGGAATATCCTTCGCTGCCTTAGCAGTTTCAGGAGACTGCCCTGCCCAAAAAAAACAGCAACATGATAGAAGACGTCCTTCTCCCTGCTCCCTCCCCTCCCCTACTACTGCGCATGTTCGTCCCGTGCTCCTTCCCCCCCAATCTCCCACTCCTCCCCGCCAAACCCGTTTCCCACTCTCCCCTCTCCCCTCCCCTCCCCCATCCCTCCTCTCCCCTCCTCCCCCGCGCCGCCCTTACCCCTCTATCCACGCCAGGCAGGCGGTGCTGACGTCATCACGGTGGTGTCGACGGGAGTAGAGGCGGAGGAGGAGGAGGATGAGTGCCTCCAGCGACTGAAGGCGCTGAGACAGGTGGGGCGGGGTGGTACCAAGAGAGGAGGAAAGAAGGGGCTGAGCTGAAGGCACTTTCATGTCTCTTCCCTCAATCCTCTACCCGGTTTTCATTCATCTTCCCTTTTTGTCTCCGTCCCTCCTTCCTCCTCTTCCACTCTCCCGAACTTCCAGGTCTATTCAGAGAGTTTCCTTCCTGCAGCAGCTGACCCCCCTGCTCCTTTCTCTTCCATTCTCTCCGCCCTCTCTCCCCCCTCTCTCCCCCCTCTCTCCCCCCTCTCTCCCCCCTCTCTCCCCCCTCTCTCCCCCCTCTCTCTCTCCCCCCTCTCTCTCTCCCCTCTCTCTCTCTCCCCCCTCTCTCTCTCCCCCTCTCTCTCTCCCCCCCTCTCTCTCCCCCCCCTCTCTCTCTCCCCTCTCTCTCTCCCCCCTCTCTCTCTCCCCCCTCTCTCCCCCCTCTCTCCCCCTCTCTCCCCCCTCTCTCCCCCCTCTCTCCCCCTCTCTCCCCCCTCTCTCCCCCTCTCTCCCCCCTCTCTCCCCCCTCTCTCCCCCCTCTCTCCCCCCTCTCTCCCCCCTCTCTCCCCCCTCTCTCCCCTCTCTCTCCCCCCTCGCTCCCCCCAACCCCTGTGTCAGGTCAGAGCATTCCTCCAATGCACCAGCTCAACCCCCTGCTCCTTCCTTTTCCTTTCTCTTCCCCCCAATCCCCCCAACCCCCCCAACCCCCCCAACCCACCCAACTCCCCCAACCCCCCCAACCCCCCAACCCCCCAACTCCCCCAACCCCCCAACCCCCCCAACTCCCCCAACCCCCCCAACTCCCCCAACCCCCCCAACCCCCCCAACCCCCCCAACTCCCCCAACCCCCCCAACCCCCCCAACTCCCCCAACCCCCCCAACCCCCCCAACCCCCCCAACTCCCCCAACCCCCCCAACCCCCCCAACCCCCGGGTCGGTTCAGAGCATTCCTCTACTGCAGCAGCTCACCTCCTGCTCACCTCCTGCTCACCTCCTGCTCACCTCCTGCTCACCTCCTGCTCACCTCCTGCTCACCTCCTGCTCACCTCCTGCTCACCTCCTGCTCACCTCCTGCTCACCTCCTGCTCACCTCCTGCTCACCTCCTGCTCACCTCCTGCTCACCTCCTGCTCACCTCCTGCTCACCCCACTTTCCCCACTCTCCCGAGCCTCTTTGTCTGCTCAGAGCATTCCCCCGCTGCAGCAGAGCAGAGCACCCCTCTCACTTCGCCTCTTCCCCTCCCACTTCCGTTCCCTTCACCCTCTCTCCCCTCCCCACCCACCCCATCAACCCCCCCCCTGTGCGTTCAGAGCATTCCTCTACTCCAGCAGCTCACCCCGCTTCTCTCCCAAGCGGCCATCACCAACACTCATATCCCTGCCACTGCTGCTGCCACTGCTACTGCTAGTGCTACTGCTACTGCCGCTACCACTGCTGCTACCGCTGCCACTGCTGCCGCCGCTGCTACTGCCACCGCTGTTGCCTCTGCTAGTGCTGCCGCTGCTTCAGCCACTCGAGTTGCTGGTAATGCTGCTGCAGCTGGTGCTGATACTGCTGCTGCCGACACTTCAGTCCTGGCGGCAAGCGGAGGGGAGCGGATGGCAGCGCATGCACAAAGGATAGGTGAGAGATGAGCATGCAGGGGGGGTGAGAGATGAGCATGCAGGGGGGGTGAGAGATGAGCATGCAGGGGGGATGAGAGATGAGCATGCAGTGTGCGTGTTGAGGGATCATGACGTGCCGCCTGCTGCTGCCGCCCTCCTTCCTCATTGTCACCCCCAGCCAAAGCAAGTGTGCGAGTTGAGGGCTCAAGGCACCTCATCTGCTGCTGTCGCTCGATCCCCGTGCAAGTGAAGGCTTCAAGGCGCATCATCTGCTGCTCTCACTCCCTCGTGTTTTCTTCCCTCCTGTTTCCTTTCCTCCTGTTTTCTTCTCTCCTGTTGTCTTCTCCAGCCGAGGCAGTGTGCGAGTTGAGGGCTCGGGGTGACTCGTCAGCCGCTGTGCTGGTGGGATTCGAGCAGTGGCATGCTGACGTGGCAGGGAGAGTATGCGGTAACCAGCAGGAGCTGATGAGCCGCATGGAAGCAGTGGAGGCTCTAGCTGGGAAGGTGTACAAGCGAATGAACTGGACTGGCAGCGTGGTGAAGAGCAATCTGCAGCACCTTAGGGCAGGTGGGTTGCCTTACAGGCTTCACTTCCCACAGGTCACTGGCGGGGAAGGTGTACAAGCGAATGAACTGGACTGGCAGCGTGGTGAAGAGCAATCTGCAGCACCTTAGGGCAGGTGGGTTGCCTTACAGGCTTCACTTCCCACAGGTCACTGACGGGGAAGGTGTACAAGCGAATGAACTGGACTGGCAGCGTGGTGAAGAGCAACTTGCAACATTTGAGAGCAGGTGCGTACTTTTTGCATCATGTCTTCTTAGCATGAGTGGCATGGCAAGGGGAGTGTGTGGTAACCAGCTGGAACTCATGGCAGCCAGCACTGTTGTCAAGAGCAAACTTCAACACTTGAGGGCAGGTGTGTGCGTCCCTACAGCACGGCCTTCAGCACGAATGGCAGGGAGAGAGCATGTTTAAAACCGGGAGGAGCTGATGAGCCGCATGGGAGCAGTGGAAGCACACTAGTTGGGAGGTTTCTTTAAACAGATGACCTGGACTGGCAGCGTGGTGAAGCGGAACCTGCAGCACCTGAGGGCAGGTACGTACCTGCAGCATCATGGCAAGCCTGCAGCACCTCAGGGTCGGTAAGCGCATAAGGTCTATCTGGTTAGCAGCAGGAGCTGATGAGCCGCATGGAGGCTGTGGGAGCTCTTGGGAGCTCCTAGAGAATGAACTGGACTGGTGATGTTGTGAAGAGCAATCTGCTGCACCTGAGGGCTGGTGTCACTTCAACATCTGGAGCAGGGAGGGTGAGGAGTCTATTTTTGAGGCGCCTCAAAAATAGACTCCTCATGCTGCACCTGAGGGCAGGTGTCCCTTCAACATCCGGAGCAGGGAGGGTGTGCGGTAACCAGAAGGAGCTTATGAGCCGCATGAAAGCGGTAGAGGCTCTTGCAGGGAAGGTGTACAAGCGCATGAACTGGACGTGCAGCGTAGTGAAGAGCAACTTACAACACTTTAATTGCAGGTGCGTACTGACAGCATCAGGTGATGCAGCCAATAAGAGGAGCTATGTGTGGAGCTACGAGGAGTCAGAAGGACTCCTGTCACATTGCCTGCATCCATCCCCTTTTCCTCCCCCCTTTACCTCAGCTCCCAGTCTCAGGATAGAGATGGAGCGTCTCAGGAATCAGCTGAGTGCCGTCACACGCAGCTACGAGGGCCTGTGTGAGGAGCTGGAAGCGGCAGGGTTGGAGTTCGACTGCGAGACGGAAACTATTTGCAGAATTGATGGGAACTGGGCCTCAGCTGGTGTCGAAGTGCCGGAGTCTGATTCTGGGGTCTCTCTGCAACGCAGTTTAACTTCTAGTGAGGGAGCTTGTATTGGCGCTCGTAGCAGCCAACATAGTCAGACACCTGATTCGAGAGGAAATCAAGGCACATTTTTTTCTGGTCAGCACTTGTAAATAATATTCTTGTACCGGTACCATGTAATCTTACAAAATCTCAGCACAAAGTGGGCTGTTTCGAACTCTAGGCGATATCGTGTGTCTAGGCGATGTACCATTCGAGTCTTCGGATGAGAATAGTGGGGTAGCTTCCAACGAGGATGGCAAGAGCGGGAAACCTTGAAGTTTCCGAATTTTGAATTTGAGCCCTCCGTCCGACCAATCTCCTTCGCAGGATCCGTGCAGCCTTCCGTTGGGCTCTGCTTTGCATCCCGTCTGCCTGCCTCCTGTTCCGCTTTGAATGCGACATACTCTATTTCCCGAGAAGTATGTCGCGGGAATTTTGTACGCTTTCTCCGCGACATACTCTATTTCCCGCCGTCCGTTTCCCTCGCCTTTCCGCATCCCCACCGTCCAGACCCTGCCTGGCTCTTTTCCTGAAGTGCGGTGCTGAAATTTTGAATTGATGGGCAGCAAATTGCGGGAAGCATCCTCAGCCCTTTGTAGATTATCAAAACTGCCAGTTTCGAGCTAGTGCCTAAGCCGACCGACCACATTCTGGGTAGACAAGCTACCACTCGAGATAGAATCATAGTTGGCAGAATTCCCGCCAGAAGGTGCGCGGAACTAGTATCGTCGTCATTTAGCAGGGTCCAAGGTTCTTGTACAGTAGCAGAGCACTCCACCGTCCGCCACACCCTGTCATCCGCACGTGGTTGACACGGTGACTGTGGGGGCTCCTGGTGGGCTCCCTCGTGTTTTCTGGAGACCAATGGCGTGTACAGTAACAGTAGAATTGGGTCAAGTTGAAGAGATGCCTCTAGCGTGGTCTTCGCGCGCTGCACTGTTCTCCAAACTTTCGGTCCTTCTCCCTTTCCAGGCTGACGGCGAGAGTTCCGAGCGACCGTGCTCGGCCGCTGAGCTACGTGTAGGCTGCTATAAAGAATGCAAGCAGATTCAGCTTCAGAAGAATACTTGGACACTTGAAGTACCGACGACGCAGTATCTGCTTCCCCTGCGCCACCCATCTTAGCTTTTCGCGACGCGGCTTCACGCCAGGACCGATCCAATTCTTCATTCAGAAAGCAAGCTTTTTCTCCCGCTGCCGTTGAGAAGTCTAAAAAAACCACCTTTCATGTTGACGTAAGCAGAGGCCAGCCTATCCAGCTGAAGAGCTTTGGCCTCTCCACCAGTCTCCTCAGCGCTACTGGTTCTCGAGGCCAGCCTCCTCAGCTTTTGTTCGTTCGAAGCGGCACCTCAAGCCAGCGATCGCCCTGATCAAAATAAACTGCTAGCGCAGCCGCTGCGGCTGTCAATCCGCTGTCGTCATCTTCATCATCATCGTCGTCGTAGTCATGGCCGTGACGTCAGCTCGAACGATCGCCCTCTCTGCTTTGGTTCTGGTGCTCCTTGGTGCCACCCTCATCAGTAAGCACCTGTACCAGTAAATACCTGAAATTATTTTGTGCATTCCAATGCACCTCATGCCCACATCAGATAGGCCCTCTATTCTGGGATGCATCTGATTACCTGCCATGCTTGCCAGTTCCTTTTGCCATGCTTGATAGAGACTAATTGATGTTTACATTCTTCCGTTGCCTTTGCCCTTCTTGTCTCTCTGATGTGCGTAGGAATCGGTCAAGCCCAGGTGAATCTTCCACGCCTCTCCATGCCCTACGTTTCCTGGCTCGTCATTGCATCTTATGCATTCCTTTTCCGAAGCCTTAATGCACCCTCTCTGCCGTGTTTTTCAACTGTACATTGGACGTTCTGCGGTGACTCTACCATCACATGCTTCCATACATCCGCATATACCCCACTTTCCGTGCTCCTCCCATTTGCCACTCTTTCCATTCACGCCGTTTCCCATGTCTCCTGTTCTCACATGCTTCCCATACCCACCCGTACTCACCTTACCCCCCCATACACCCCTTTCCCTCCTCACAGCCCCTGCCAGTGGTGGTCGGATTCCTGCAGGGCAACCCTGTGAGCCACTGGAGTGGCGGAGTCAACATGTGGAAGCCGCCTGCAGTGAAGCCAGGGGACATTCTTGGTGAGTGAGGGTGGCTGGGTTGAAGGGGGTGGGTGGGGACGGCTGAGTCGCATCGGAGTGTTAGTATGGCGTCCTTGTGCTGAGACGAAAGTGCCACTTCACTCATTGAGTGGGGTGGCGCCTTGAAGAGCAACAAGGGACGCTCTGGACTGCGGACGCTGGGTATAGTCGTTTGGCGATCTTTGTTCCCCAGACTGAGGTAATTCGCCACAACTTCCTCACGCCGGCAGGTGAATTGTCTCAACTTACCCACACCGACAATGAACCCAAGCCACACCCCTTCCCTCCTCCCCCGTTTTTCAACCCACCCCCAGATGCCTTCCGCGTATTCCTGCCCGATCTTGTTCACTCCCCCTGTTCTACGTCCAAGGTTCCAGTGGTTTGCAGGGACTCGAAATGTGCAGCACCTCCGTAACTTCCTCGCCTTTGAGTTGTGCTCCCCAATTCTCAACCATTTCCTTCTCTCTCCCCCCTCTCCCCTGCCCCCCCCCCTCCTGCCCCTCCCAGCCTTCCAGTGATTCACAGTGACTCACGACGTGCTGCGCTTCTGCAACATCCTTTCCATCCGTGTTTGCCCCTTCTTCCTACCATCCCCTCCCCTCTTTCTCCACACCCCCCCCCCACACCCCCCCCCCCGTCCCTCCCAGTCTTCCAGTGGTTCGCCGAGACGCACGACGTCCAGCGTTTCCGCAACATCCTCGCCTTCAAGGCGTGCTCCTTCTTCAACGCCGTGCCGCTCACGTCCGCCTCGCAGCTGGGCATGCGCCTTTTCCAGGTGAAGCCAGAGCACGCAGGCAAGACACTCTTCTTTGGCAGCAGTGTGGGCAAGGACTGCCAGAGAGGCGTCAAGATCGCCATTCCTGTTAACTAAGGGATCAAGAAGCATTTACATACAGAAGCCAATGCTTCTCCCTGCCTTGCACCCTTGCAGGGGGGCAGGAACCTTGGCATCACCTTTATTTGAGGAACTGGTCCGATACGGTACCGTATTCCCCAGGATATAATGACCTAGGGGCGTATAGGATATAGGCCAAAAAATGCCTAGGGGCGTTTAATCGATTATAATTCATATGACACAGTGTTTTAAACGAATTTTACACGAATTTCGTTATGGCATCATCAAAATGTAGCTCATCCGATTTCCAGGTGCATGCTAATTGTTTCTAACGGGCTTGGTTGCGAGTTTTGGGGGCTTCGACGGCCAGCCAGGCAGGGCAAGTGGTTTTATTTCATTCGTAACCGTTACACACAAACCGCAGGATTGTATATAGCAAAATAGCTAACACCCGTACGGGGTACGTAAATACACGTTATACACCCAACCAAGGTTGGCAGACAGCGATAGGCAAAATTGGCCTTATGGGGGGCGGCCACGAGAGGAAGGAAGAAGGGCAATTTGCTGACAGATCAGCAACATTAAGATGCTGAGCTGTACAGTTAAGATTTGTTCGCGCAACTTAAACACGTCATCTTTCAGGTCCGTGCCCAGGGCTTCAGACGTCAGGACAAAATGCCCTGAAATGCTGTATATCAGAGTGTTTTTTTAGGGTCATCCTGTTTTTTCAGCTTTTGATTTTTCCTAGGCCTGAATTTTAGGGGTTCTCATTTGAGCAGGCCTGAAATATTGTATGTTCTTGTTTTGGTCACCCTGAATCATCAGCCTTAAAGCCCAGGTCTCAAATTAGTAACGCACCCAGTTTGATGCTGCCCGCGCTCACGAACTACCCAAGAAAAAAAAAGAAGAGAATTGACTACTGTTGGGCTGAGAAAAGCCCTTAGGATCTTTCCAGAGACTAAGTCCCACTTATACAAGATGCTTGAGTAGTGCAGCGGAAGTGTTGAGTAGTTGAACCCTTGCACTAGTATGTGAGAGCAAGTGATTGATTAAAAGAAGCAAGCATACAGCAATATATAGAAAATAGGAAATAGAGTAGTTTGTAGAATACAGTTGAAGAAACAGTTATCGGGTCGCACAGCGACTCGATCGATGGTTCGGTTACCACCCTTGCAGTCGTAACGGTCATTCGCAACCTACGGTTGCGATCCTTCGAGTCCCTTCGTCCTTTCGTGTTCTTTCGTCCAACCTCCTCGTGTAACCTCCGTTGACTCGCGTACTCGATACAACTTTCCTTCGAGTGTAGTGTTACACTTCAGAAAAGCTTAAGTCTTCGAGGTATTTCCAACACTCCCCTTCATTTCTGGAGTGCTGACGTGTCCGGATTCGGTGACGTTTATCCGCCAGGTCAGCAGCATGCAGTAATCGAACTTTGCCTTTGCCAGTTTCTTCGTCAAGAAATCTGCAGCCATTTATGTCGTGGGGCAGTAACTGAGTTGAAGTCTCCCCTTCGCAATCTCATCCTTGACGAAGAAATACCGCAGAGCGATGTGCTTGGTTCGATTGGCGAACCCGTTTTTGTTCGCGATTTTGATCGCGGATTGGTTGTCGCAAAATAACGAGAAGGCGGGCATGGTCGCAATTTTCGCTTCCTCGAGCAGCTCCCGCAGGTAAAGTCCTTCTTTGGTCACAGAGCAGAGGGCGGTGTATTCCTCTTCAGCCGAGGATAGCGCGATTAGCTCCTGCTTGCTTGATTGCCAGGAGATAGTCCCGATAGGCTCTAGTCGGTAGATGTAGCCCGTTCTGGAGCGATAGTTCTCCCTGTCTCCCGCGTGGTCGGCGTCGACATAGCCGAGTAGTTGTACGGACGATGGCGTTACTTTGCTGTAGGTAAGTCTGGTCGTCGGCGTAGAGACGAAGTAGAGCAGTGCCCGATTTAGCTCCTCGAGATCCTCTTGCTCCGGCTGCTTCAGGTGTGTCGCCAGTTGGCTCGCGCTGTAGGACAGATCCGGTCGGCAGGTTACTGCTACGAACAGCAGACATCCAAGCTTCTGCTGATATTCCTGGATTTGCTTCGCAGGGAGCTTTGCAGAGTTTTCGTTGTTGTTCCCGAAGTGATAGGGAGTCGCGACTGCGACTGGCGTTAGGCCGAATTTCTTCGCGACAACGCCTGCGTATTTTCCGGCGTGTAGGTAGAGCGCCGAGTCGTCTTCGACGATGTTTAGACCTAGGTACTGGCTCACGGTGTCTGACACCGTGAGTGTTAAGTCACTCCTCAGCTCCCCTTCGAACCAGGTGGCGACGTCGGTAGTGGAGCCGACGTAGAGTAGGTCATCGACGTAGATGATGAGTAGGACGAAATCCCCCCCCATTCTGTAGTCGGTACATGCCTTGATCGTACGGCAGCTGCAGAAAACCGATCCTGACGAGGCGGTCGTGAAGGTGCTGCTGCCAGAGCCGCGGGGCTTCTTTTATTCCGTAAAGGGATTTTGCCAGCAAGCACACTTTTGTGGGATCGTCGATGAATCCATGGGGTTGCTCAACAAAGATTTCGGCGTCCACAGGTGCGTACGGGAAGGCGTTGGCGACATCGATCTGGCGCATTGGTAGTCTTTTCGTGGCCGCGACAGCGAGCAGAATGTGTAGGGAGGTATGTCGTGAGACTGGGGCGAATGTCTTCGTGTAGTCGGTTCCGTATCGCTGGTCGAAGCCTCGTACGTCCCAGCGAGCCTTGAAGCGGACGATGGAGCCATCCGCATTAGTCTTGATGCGGTACACCCATTTCCCCGAGAGCACATTCTTCCTGTTGGTTTTTGTTGCAAGTACCAGCTTCCACGTATTTCGGTCTTGCAGGGCCTTCACCTCCTTTTCCATTGCTTCCTTCCATTTTGCCTTGTGTTCCCCCCCCAGAGCCTACGGCAGAGTCGTTGGCTCGCGCGGTGACGGCGGCGGCAGGCTCTGGACGGCGACCCATAGTCCAAGTATCTGCAGGCCCATGGGTGTGTGACGAGAGGAATTGTCATTCGCGGGATAAGCTGCTTCGTCACCATCTTCAGGATCAGGTAAGAGACTTGGTCCGATGCGTTCAGAGACATTTGTGTCTACCGGTTGAGGTGTAGCATAACCCTGATCAGCGAAGTGGTAATAGGTGTCGAGGTTGTTACTATCGAGAGGATTGTCGTCGTCGAGTGGAACGGGCACGGAGCAGTAAGGGAGTGGTCCGGCAGCTTCCGAGGCTCCAAGTACGTTTTCTTCTGCTGCGTCAGCTTCTGCAGCACGGTCGCCGAAGGACCGATGGCCCTCGAAGCCGTCGGTGGGGTCGTCTTTGTTGGCGATGTTGTCCAGGTAATGTTGCAGCGTCAGTCGATCGTAGAAGATCACATCACGTGAGGCCACGGTGGTTTTGTCCTGAATGTCGAGAAGCTTCCAAGCTTGGAAATGTTTTGCGATGCCGAGGTGTAGTCCCCACCGTGCTCGTTGAGAGAATTGACCTGCTCGGGCTGTGTGGGGTCTGTACTGTACCATGCAGCCGAAGACTCGAAGTAATTTTGTGCTGCCCTGTTTTCCTGTCCACAGCAGGTGCGGTGATGCGCTGTTGGGAAGTGATGACGAGGACAGCGAATTGTGCAGGTGGACTGCATGCGTCATCGCGTCAGGCCAAGGCGTGTTGGGTAGTCTCATCCCCAGGAGCAGCTTCTGCATCGTCGTCTGCAAGGTTCGGTTCATCCTCTCTGCAACCCCCTACTGCTGGTGAGCGTAGGGCAGGGACACCAGGCATCTGATGCCTCTTTCTGCCAAGTAGTTCCTGAATGGTTGTGACTTGTACTCCAGTGCTCGTCGAGCAGCAGCCGCAGCAGTCGCCGCCGGTGTCCGCTCTTCGCCTCCTCGGTCTTCCTTCCCCTGACCGCCTGCCGGTGCCTCCTTTGTTACCGCCGCCTCCTCCTTCGCTGGTCTACGGCCCAGTGTTTCCTCATTTTGCCTCCTCTCCGGCTCGTTTCCCTCCCAGTTCTCCTCCTGTGTCTCCCCCCCTCTCTCCTGACCCGGCTACGCCGTCTCACGTCTGGTCGCGTTGTCCATCTCGTGATCGTCCTACCTCCCCCATTCAGCGGTCTCACCCTATGTTGCTTTGCTCCCATGCATCGCATGCTCCTCCGCTCCTCCTGTCTCCTCCCCCATCATTGCTTGTTGTGGCCCTGCCTCCGTTCTCTGACTTCCTCGGTGCAGCGGGTCCCCTTGTTCCTCGTGTCCTTGCCTCTCTTGTTACCGATCCGTCCGTTCCTGTCTCGAGTCTGTCGGCTCTTGTCGCTGCTGTCACTGACTTTGCCGCTACCCGCCGCCTTGACTACACCACCGCTCTGGTCTCTGACCCTGCCTGCCCTCTGTCCGCGGGGGGTGCTCCTACCCTTGGCAGTGACGTCCTAGAGGACGAGCTCACTTTCCTGTCTGAGGCCGCTCCCCATCTCTGATCCATGCCACTAGTCCCTCAGGATGACCCAGACGCCCTTGAAATCCCGACCCCTCGCACCTTCGCTGAGGCCACCTTGGGACCCTCGGCCTCTCAGTGGATAGCTGCCATGGAGCAGGACATGGCATCTTGGAGATCCACCGGTACCTTCGCGGACGCAATTCCCCCACCTGGGGTGAACATAGCCGATGGCCGATGGCTCTTCAAGGTGAAGCACCCTCCTGGGAGCCGCATGTCTTCAAGGCGCGCTACGTGGCTCGAGGCTTCAGTTAGCATGAGGGGGTGGACTTCTTTCAGACCTTTGCCCTGACCCTGAAGATGACTAAACTTCGGGCACTGCTACACGTAGCAGCACAGCGTGACTACGAGCTGCACTCCCTCGACATTTGTACAGCTTTCCTCCAGAGCAGTCTACATGAGCAGGTCTACCTGCGCCGCCCCCAGGGCTTCTCCGGTACCTTTCCCCCTGGTACCGAGTGGCTACTCCGACACCGTGTCAACGGCTTGCGACAGGCGCCCCGTGAGTGGCACGACATGCTGCATGCTACGCTTGCTAATCTGCAGTTCTTCCCGTCGTGTGCAGACCCCTCGCTCTTCGTCTGTTCTGGCCAGACTCCATTCTACATCCTGGTCTACGTAGACGACCTTGTCTTTGCTACTACAGACAGAGACGCGCTGGCCTCCGTAAAGGCCGAGCTGCTGAGGAGACACACCTTCACTGGCCTAGGAGAGCTGCGCAGCTACCTTGGCTTGCAGATCTCCAGGGACAAAGCAGCAT